CAGCCCTACCGCCCCGTCAATGATTCGGGCACCGTAGTGTCTGAAGAAACTGCACCTGATTATATCGGGCTCAACGTGTGTCAAATTTTTACCATAGAGGTTCCATCCTTTTGTCGGTCCCCATTCTGCAATCAAAGTCTTTTGTGTAGTATCATCAGCATTCGGCATATACCACATATATGTCATTGGCGGACCCGTCTCACCTCGAAGAATAGCCGTCGCATTTTTCTTGATATCAGAAAATAGTGCTTGAAACCGTCCTACCGCCCGAACATGTTCTATCTTCCATGGCTGGCATTCAACTTGAAATCGCACATTGGGAGGCAATGAAGTGAGTCCCCGCCTGTAGTCATTCTCCCACACACGTTTCGCTTCCCATAGGATCTCAGAGGATGTACCTGGCTTGAAATAGATCCTACCCCTCGTGTACGGCCAATATCTACCAGTATTCTCCTGAACCGTCCGATCCAAGTCCAGTGCCACCCTCTGTGTAGCATCAATTTGTTTAGAGTCAATGAGGCCATTCATCGCCGTCGTCAGTGCCTCCTGTGACAGAGCCTCCCGCTGACGTATCTCACGGTTCCTCCATCCCTCCCTTGAAACCCACCCTTTGAACTCAACATAACGTGGATTCCAACCAGGATCGTGCCTGTCCGCACCCGCCTTCGTGGATCCACTTGCTACCGACAGCCCGTCCCCCTGCTTGAGCTTCTGAACTTCATTGGTGAGGTCCTGGATCGCCGATTCTGTTTTTGATGCCCTGGAGTCCAGAGATGTTTTCAGACCGTCCATTTCCGTACGAATAGAGTTCCTGAACGATTGCATGTCTGCCGTCATAGTCTGTTGTCCCGTCATGATGGATCGAAACATCTGTTCAATGTCAAGGCCTGCTTCCTGGGCAACCTCATTCGCACCCAACGTTTGCCCCGCACCTCCTCCTTCTCCTTTCCCTGCTCCTTTGACATTACGAGCACGGACAGCTCTAGCAAACGCCCCACCCCCATCATCAATTGTCATGTCCTGGCCCACCGCATGCAAGCCTGGAGCACCTGAAACTGAAGAACCTGCTGGCATCGCTGGTGCAACACCTGAAACTGAAGAACCTGCAGCAGCCATCTTCCTTTTGTGGCTGCGTAAGATATTGAAATCGTAACCTTCACCCTGCACGAAGTGGTTACGCAAGATATTGAAATCGTAACCTTCACCCTGCACAACGGTATAAGCGTCCAAAACCCGGACTTGTAAGCGTCCAAAACCCGGATAGCGAAGCAAAGCGCGGAACGCCGCACGGGGACTTCTGCCAGGCCGCCTGAAACGATGCGCGGAGAGCTGGAAACCTCGCAGGAGACGCTTCTAGAGGCGCCGTTTACGATGCGTGGGGCCCTGCAAAGAGCGCAAGGAAGATTCGCCTAGGGGCCTGGAAGAACTGCCGAAGCTCTTCCGAAGCTCTGCCGAGGCGCTTTGCGCACCCTGGAGCCACGCGTATTGGGAAACGCTAGGAAGCCACGCTCCCGGACCCGCTGCCGGTTCCGGCAACCTGCTGCGGGGATCGTGGACTGGCGGAGTGGGTGTGTCCCCTCACCACCCTCCGGCTTCTTATCTGAAACCCTCAGCTCTCCAAGGAGCTATCCGGGAATAGCGAAGCCAAGCGCGGAGCGCCGCACGGGGACCTGTGCCGGGCCGTCTGAAACGATGCGCGGGACCGCTGGAAACCTCGCAGGAGACGCTTGCAGGGGCGCCGTTTACGATGCGTGGGGCCCTGCAAAGCGCGCAAGGAAGATCTGCCGAGGAGCCTGGAAGAACTGGGCGCCGGCGGTAAACCGTCAACCTGGTTACCGCCGGGGACCTCGTAGAGCTCCTAGCCCCGCGTCGTAAGTCCACGCGTATCTCTGGAGTGCGCACGGTGAAAATATCTCCAATAATAAAACGGATGCATACATGTATGAGTTTTCGCGCGTCTTTCAGCGCTGCCGCGGCAGCCAACATGTATGTAGACATGCACAGATGGACAAGTATGCGAAAATACGATCGACGTCAGCAGGCGCGGCAACGCACCGGGCACGAGCGCGCGCACGCACATGCGCGCGCACGCGAATATATACACAATATCACGCGCGCACGCACTCACAACCACGCGCGCTCACTCGCGCGCGGGCACCCCCTCA